AACTCTTTCAATTAACACCTTCGCATAAAGTTTACCCACAATACTAAGCAAGCTGATACCGCGGTAGTTTTTGCAGTCCTGCTGTGACCCTTTTCCTTTATATATTGGTACTATAACTGCTTTACACTAGTCATCCGGTACCCGTTTTAATTCCCAACATAAATTAAACAAGGTGTACAGCAGGCCTGCCACCACTCCCTCTCCAGCCCTTAGCATCTCGAGTGATACTCTATCATATCCAGCTGCCTTACCTGCTTTCATGCTTTTCATTGCTTTCATTATTTCATCTACACTTATCTCCATACCCCTTTCCACTTCTTTCGGAATTTCTAGTTCATTTAATTCATACGACTCTTCACTCATAAACACGCTTTCAAAGTATTCCTTCCATCTGTTTAAATTCGAAACTTCATCATTCAGAATACATCCATTCTCGTCTCTTATAGCATTTATTATAGGCTGTTTTGTATTTCCCCTGGCAGTTCTTACGAGTTTCCAGAACATTTTTATGTTAGCCTGGAAATTATCAGATATCCTTCTATCATTCTTATCCATTCTTTCTTTCTTTTTCCTTTCAACAACTTCTTTTACTCTCTTATTTAGACGTCTAAATTCTGCCTTTTTTCTTTCAATCTCATCATTCATACCAGAAGAATTACCAGCTTTGGTTGCTAGTAAATCTAACCATGCTTTCTTCTTTGATTCAACTTCCACCCGTACCTCATCATCCCACCACAACGTATTACTTTTCCTTTCATTTGTTCTTTTACTTACACCACATACTTCGGTGGCGGTATCCACCAAACCTTTCTTAATATTATCCCACACAGTCTTCAAGTCTAAATCATCCATACACAATTCATTCAAACATCTAATATTTTCTCTCAGTCTACATTTATACTTCTCTTTCACATCTTCATCTTGTAACTTCTCTATTCTTATACGCTGTAACGCAGTGGTAGACACAGATGTCCGATGCCGCCAACGCTTGAAAAGACCATTAATTCGACATAAGACCAAGTAATGATCCGTCCCTACGTTGGACCCCCGGTAAACCCTTGTATCTACGACTGCGCTCCTCATTCTTTCATCCACAATTACGAAATCTATCACGCTTCTATCATCACCTCTTTCCCATGTATACATGTGAATCTTCTTATGACGAAAAAAAGTATTCGTCACAAAAAGATTCTTTTCCGCACATACGGTGAGGAGGTCTTCACCATTCTCATTTATACTTTCATCACCAAACGTTCCCAATATCCTTTCATAACCAGACCTCTTCACCCCAACCCTTCCATTAAAGTCTCCTAACATAATAATATTTTCATTTTCCTTACATTTTGTCAACACCATCCTTACCATGTCCCAAAACTGCTCTCGAATGTAAGCGGGCTTAGACATGTCTGGGGCGTACACCCCTAGCAGGAACAGCTTCTTTAAGCCCACTTTCATTCGTATCCATAGCAGTCTCGGGCTTACACATTCATACTCTTTCACACATTGACCCATTCTTTCTGAAAGGATGAAACCGACTCCCTGGCACGCCCGTTCGGTCTCGCCTACACCAGACCAATACGCGGTATACGTGCCATGTGCAGTGGCATCCTTTCCCTTTCGTTTCGTCTCATTCACACATAACACATCTATTCCTCTGTCATTCATCATTTCGCATACTTCATCCATCTTATCATTCATTCCTCCACATACATTCAGCGTAGCCAGACGGGTTTCCGCAATCCACTTTTCGCCCCTCCGGGAGACAGAACGTGACGGGTGGCGAACCTCGTCGCCGGTTTTTCTCCCGGAGATTCTTCGCACCCCTGCCCCATTTAAGGGGCGCCGGGAACTCGGGGCCATTTCTTTTATTTCCTGAGTCATTCGAACAAGGGGTGGTGGTAGATTTTACGCCGCTACCATACGGCGAGGAGCCGAGTCTATTTTTTCGGCTTTGTCGCTAGTTTAGCACCACCCGGGGGACACGTGTAGGGTGGGCCTAAGGTTAGGTGGTCGGAGCCTACGGACGCGAGCGACTCATCCCCCCATACATAATAATTAAATTAAATTAATACATATTTATTGAAATTATTTATTAATTTAATTTAATTGTTATAAATATTTATACATGGTAGGGCCATGCTGCAGTTATATTAGAAGTGTAGTTGTAGGACGAATGGGTCGGCTCGACCGGGGAAGGACCACGCTCTCACAGAATACCAGCGTAAAATAGTAGCTTAATGCTGCTGTGTTTCGTATCATGAGTGTAAAGAACCGGAGACCCTTTTTACTGGAAACGAGGCATTCCATCTTAATCCTCACGGGTGACAACGCATCTGCATTTTGATTCGTAATCGAGGATAGATGTAGATGTCTATGGGCCACAGCAACCACTTACCATGAAATGGACTGTACGCTCGTTTGTCACCCCATCCTGTAAAAAAAACACTTGTAGCTGAAAGGCACGACTGCTCGATTCGAGCTCCGTAAGCGTAAGTAAAATATTAAAAAAGGATTAGTATGCTATGAAATATAAGATATTAACAAGCCCACCGTCAAGAAGTAGTTCATGTGCAATTATTAAAACCTTTAACTCATCCACGCTGAAATATTTGAAATAAAACTTTATTTCAGATATTTCAGCGCAATCAATATAGGACATTGACACAATTTCTGTGAAGGAGGAGGAGAACAGAAATAACCAACACCAAGGAAGCAAACACTTACAATATATAGAAGATGACAACAGTGAAGTTGAAATGAAAGATTGTACACAATACACAACGGGAAGAGGAAGAAAAATAAGAATAACAATCACTTATAAAATTAAATTCTTTCTTAAGATAATAGTCTATTTTACATTATAAAAATACAGTTTAAAATAATGTGTTATCATCGCACTATGTAATTATTATAAATTAATTATGGTTATGTTAAATTATAAAACAGTTCAATATAACATAAATAAAATTGTATCCACTTGTTGTAGTACATTACCATTAAAACATTTTGTGAAAATAATTAAGTAGTCAGAAGCTAAATAGTAATTAATTAGTAATAGGTTACAGTTTTGTTTTTGTTATAATTAGTGAATAAATGTTTTTTTTTTTTATAAATCTTTAAGATAGAGTGAGTTTTTAAATAAAAGAGCATGTAAGGACTTAGTGAAATTTAAAATTTTATTTAAATTTGTAAATTTCAAAAGGCTTGTAAGGATAATAGATAATAGAAAATAAAATAAAAATTAAAACAAAGCGTAAGTTAATGTGAAAGGTGACAAAAGTGTGGTAACAATATTGGTATGAAAGAGTAAGATAAAAATAAAGTAGTACAAGCGAGATAGATTATTGTAATTATATAAGTGGGCGGAGAGAGAAAATAGATCATTACGTGTAATAGCGACGTGTGTTTCATTTCTATCTTACAAGACGGTTTACGTCATAATCACACACATATCCCATTAGTCGCTTTTTACTGCATGCTAGGCAAGTACTCGTAACTCAGTTGGCACATACTAGTATAAATGGAATGAAAACTATGTCAAAAATATCTTGTATATAAATAATCGGCAGAAAACCCTAAGTTTCTACACAAGTAACAAATGTTTTTCATTTTCTCTGAATAATTAACAATTAGAAAAATAATTATTGAATTATGTAAATACAAAACTAAACATTAAAAAAAACTTTCAGTTAATTAAAATGTTAACTTAAAAGAGCCACGCTCCAGCTATACACATCTGCAGTACGAATGAATAACCTCGGCTGGGGTAGGAGCATGTTTCAGAAAATACCAGTGTGAAACAGCAGAATATTTCTGTGTTTATTGTGTGTAGCGTATCGCAGGCCTACTTTACTGGAAAAGAGCATTCTATTTTAGTTTTATAATATAGCTGCACCGTGGGTGCAAGCGTGTATGGACCATCAACTTACCATCAGGTGGACTGATTGCTCGATTGTGCCACTTACTTTAATAAAAAAAAACAAATTTTAGAAAATCTCACTTCTTAGCAGTTTAAAAGATACTTATTTTAGTTTAAAAGACATAATTCACTACCATTATAGGATTTCGTGTAATCACCACGTCTGGTAGGCTGATTGGCGGTCAGAGAATCATTATTTATTCTACAAGCCGTCGCTTGTCTAGAAATTTAATAGTTTTTCAAAAAACGACATTCGTTACCGTGTTGGTATTTATTTACCTGACATAAATGAAATTAATTTAAATGTGTACTTCTCTTTAGGCGCTTTCCTAAAGTCATGGGTTCCTTTCCTTTCGTGTAACCGATCTCTAAAAAAGCTGACTGTTCTAACGCAACCTAAGCTTGTACTCGAAAATAATGATGTCGATTTTAACTGCCAGCTCATGCAGTACTTTGAGGAGCACCATCTGATTAACGATGCTTCTATCAGGTCAATCAGCTAGTGATCTTCTAGTTTACCAGCTACAGATGGGCGGAGACAGGAATGTCTTAGTGAAGACGTTCGATCGAGTTTGAAGCACTTCTTACTTAACTTTATATCGGCTCCCCGAGAAATAGTTCGTTTGGATCACCAGTTTTTTTGCAGATCAGAGCATCAAGCTCGGTGCATGCTCCGACTACATATTAATGCTGGTGTTCCAAAATGTTGCATACAATCACCTACGCTATTTCGTTCGCATGTGAATCCAATGATATCTTTCAAACCAGTAAAACTCCAGATGACCAGTAGCAACCAGATGCACTCACCCACTGGTATGCATATTTCAAAAAGCAAAAGTGATGTCCTTCGGCAAATAAAACTACTATAAGATTATTATGTTGTTTATTAGTTATTACAAACATATTTTTTAAACTCATAATTTTGCAGCCGTATCCAATTAAGTTCCTGTATTACGTGTTTATTTAAACAATTATTTCGATATACCTAACATAAACTTATTAAATAAAACAGTACTTGCACAGAAATTCATTATATTTTAACCAACGCCTTTCGACAGATTAATGGTTTCGAATTGAAGGTTCACTTTCTTCTTTCAATTGCAATATGTATACCCGAATAAGGTTTAAGCAAGAAATCAAACTTAAGCAACATTGTTTTGTAATCGCCGGTTACTTGGAATTTACGCAAAAAATGTGAAATAATTGTCTTCAACCACATCATCGCGTAAGCTTTACCTGAAAAAATGTTATTAAACTTACTGCAAAAAGTATCTTAACTGACACACACTTACGTACACGTGCAATTACAAACACAATTAAACAACTAACAAAAAGTTAATTTACATATGAAAATACTCCTCCAGGCGGATACGTAAGTACTTGCATATTTATTTTATCCTTTACTCTTCAATAGGAATTATTTAGTTTTAAAAATATGATATTAATATTTTAGTATAATTTAAATAGGTTTAATACCTATACAATTTCTTTTTCCCAGGCTAAAAGGCATAAATAAATTCGGATTCTTTGGCAAAGTTTCGGGGTTCAACCACCTGTCCGGCTTAAAGTCATTCGCATCGTCACCCCACGCAGGATGTCGGTGTGCACCATAAATGAAGAGCAAACAAATTTTTCCGGAATATAAAGTATAATTTTCTGTAAGAAAACAAAAGAACATTTTTTTATATTTTAATCTCGTAAAAATCATCTTCAAAACAACTTTAACAATCAATGACGATTCTGATAAGTTTGCAGAATAAAATATATGCTATTGTAAAAAAATTTGGTTTATATATCTTGAACTCTGATAGTTCAGTGACAGGATGCTCGCCTTATATTTTTTAAACTTGCGTCAGTCAAATTGAAATTGCTGATATCAATTTTACGTATTGATTTATCAGATGTTTGGCAGTGAATAAAAGAAAATGCGAGGTAATAGATTCGAAAACCAATATATTTCGAAGCATGTGCAGCAGCTAAAGCTCCTTGTCTGTTTAAAAACCGTCTGTACAGAGGGGATCCTTTGGTATAACAGGAAGCCAAAGTGAAGCAAAGAGTTTGCAAGCTGTTTTTTTACAAATTATGTTTACTTAAATCTCTCTCTTTTATAAATATTTTACGTGGTAGAGCCATGCTGCAGTTATATTGCATGGGGCAGACCATGCTCTCACAGAATACCAGCGTAAAATAGTATCTTAATGCTGCTGTTGTTCGTATGGTGAGTGTAGAGAAATGGAGATCCTTTTTACTTGAAACGAGGCATTCCAACTTAACCCTCACGAGTGACAACGCTACTGCATTTTGATTTCCAATCGCGTATAGATGTAGATGTCTATGGGCCACAGCAACCACTTACCATCAGGTGGACTGTGTGCTCGCTTATCACCCTATCCTATAAAAAATCTTATTTATGTAATACTTATTAAAACATTCACGTGAGATAAATATGACGTATAAATATAAAACCTACTTAGTTTTAAATCCTTGTCGATAAGCCGGGTTATAACAGGAGAAATAGGGTATAGCCTCAAAGATTCCTTTATAACTGCCTCCAAATAAGTAAGACGAGGTAAGTCTTGCTTTTCAACATCCCTGTCGGACTGCCCAAATACTTCTTCAAGCCTTAATATAAATAAAAACTGTGTTACTTTTCAGTCTTGAAATGTATAAAGAGATAAAACCATAAGAAACTGAAAGAACATAATGCATAAGTTCAACATTTACACTCAGATTTGTCCCACTGCAAATCTTTCAGGAGTTGCTTCCAGCAGCGTCACATCAATCACCACATCGCATGAGTTAATGAATATTTTATGAATAGAAAGACGAAAATATTTGATAATACAAGACATTATTCTTTAATTCCAAAAATATTTTTATTCCAAAAAATTACTGCAATATCATTCGGGAATAGAGTAGAGGCGTGTACATCAAGTTCAAAAAATAAAGTTAAATTGTTTGGAAAAACTAATAATAAAACTAAGAATGTCCAAGTTGAGACCAAAATTGTTACAAATAATTATTTACCACAATAACTATATTATTTATTATATAAATTAAACTTTTTATTTAATATTTTTTCTCTTTCTTTTTCTTATCTAATAACATAAACCATAGTATTATTTACAATTAATAATCATTACACACAATATAAAAAACTATAAATAATAATGAACTTAACTAAAATAATAATTAAAATTATAATATTTACGATTAAAACTAATTATATACAATATAAAAGAAGAAACTATAATATAGAAAATCTAAAAATTTTAATAGTCAAAAAGACCTGCTCCCCGTGGTATAGTGCCAAGAACGCTGGCTGCGTTTCCTCGCTGAATAGCTATACTTAGCCTTTGAGCGAGGAAAGAACCAGCCCTCTAATCTTATCACTAGCAGCGACGACCAGTCCTGGATACAGTTCCTATAGAAATTTCACTGCACGCGGACCCTACGGACCGATAGTCTCTACAGCAAATGGCACAAATATGTAGTCATTTCTCAAAGACTCATATTTGCGCCATTTACTAAGTGCGGCTGCCTCTGATGCCGCCCCGGCTCTAAAAGAGGTACCCTTGAGATGAGAGGCCGCCAAAGTGTCAACGCAAGTAGCATCCCACACTAGGCTTTACCTCTCTCCCAAGGGACCAAAGTCATACCGTCGGGTCTCTTGCCATCGTCTCTAAATATCCCGCAAGGCTCTAAAACCGAGGGGATAATTATGGAGACAAGAGCCCTTCGGATGATTTCCTTCAAAGAACCGTGACGGGAAAACCTACCTGCACTTTTCCTGCATGAAAGTCCGTGGAGCCCAAACTCATCGACGCTGCTACCACAGGGGTACTGGTGAGGTTGACAAATTTCCACACCTAGCCGGATTCCTACGGCGATGCGCAAGCTTTCCCACCAAGCAATGTGCCGAGATTACTTGATGGTAGGGCATGTAATCAGTGGTTAGATTACTTAGTCGAAACAGCTAGAAGGCGAGTCTGATCTTGTTGACTGTAGAAATTTTGAAATAATTTTTTCTGGACACTCCGTACCAACGGAATATCCCACTGTTTTTGTTGGTTAACTTCCAGTGGGACATTTTCGCCGAGACAGAGCGTTAGACATGTTTGTCTTGCCTCCGCAGCAAAGCACAGGTCTACTTTATTATTTAAATTTGTGTTACATAGATCATTGACACTATGCACGGAAGCAAGGAAAGCAGGCAATGCGACGCTAGAAATATTTCTCACACCAATACCACCAAATTTGATTGGTACAGTGGCTTGATTCCTGGCTATTGTATTTAATTTCAAATTTAGAATTTTTTCTAAAGCAATTTTAAGATTATTTTCAATATCTTTTAAAATATCCGAACATTTTCAGATTGGACTTGAGCGTAACAAGTATGTAAATTTAGGTACAAGGAGACAATATTTTAAAATGATAAGGGCAATATGTGGGTTTAAAATATATAATTTATCAACGTGATTTAAAAATTGATCAAATTTTGTTTTTAAAACAGGTTAAATACTATCGAAAAACAACGGAGCACCGAGCAGGTAAAGCGATTCCGAATTGACAGTTTTTATTCCTGAAGAAATCTGATTGAAATTTTGAATTAAGGTATCTCTGTTAGAATTAGATAAATTATTAGAAATAAATATTTCACATTTATTGGTATTTGCTTCATGACCAATATTTTTAAAATTTTGAAAAATATGAGTAAGATCATTAAGGACGTCATCTGCTTTACCTCCCAGTGTACCATCGTCCAGATACCAGACATTCAGCTTGGATTTTAGATTTCAAATAATAGGTTGAATTCCCAAACTGAAAAGAGCTGGACCTAATGGATCACCCTGCTGAACATCGATAGCAGACTCAATAATATGGTATTGATAAAACAAGTTTGAATTTTGTCTGTAACATTGCCAAACGTAATGATATATTTCGGGGGTATTGTTAGCCACTTCTTTCAGCAGGGTTATCCTATCAACAGAGTTAAAAGCATTTCTAAGATCAACCTTCAGAAGAACAAATAATAATAAATTAAATATATGTCAAGTATTTAATATTTTATTAAATATCAAAGTTAGGTAACTTAAAATAGATAATTATTTATTTTAAAATGAACACGTGATAATTTATGTGAACAAATTCAGACTGAAACCGTATTTTAATTTTACCACTTTTTGTACATTTAATAACGCAGTAGATAAGCAAACTTGGGGACGGATTGCTAAGAGTCATTTTATTTTTTGCATTGTATTTTAATTTCGCATAGCGCTTTCTAGTCTAAGTTTTCAACCTAAATAGATTGCATTATATTGAACATTTTAACTTGTATTCTTACATGACTTCGATGAATATGGACTGCAATATTTAAATATTGTTAACTTTCGGTATGAAATTGAATTACAAGCTAAGAGTAAAAGTGTGGTAATTAATACTTTATTGATAACAACTAATTTTTAACAGGTAAAATACACAGTTTTGATGCATTTTGTGAATGCTCTGATAACAAGCCTATTAATGATGGTGTTTCACAAGGCTGCGTGCTATCACCAATGTTTTTTATTCTGCATATCAATGACATGTTGCAAACCGGTAACATTTATTGTTATACAGACAACATCACTGGTGATGCTTTTTATTCCGGCCGTGCTAATATTTCTCGGGAAAACATCTGTCTGTAAACTTTCGTCTGAATTCGAGACTTTGTTGTACTAATTATCGGATTGGGGGTGACTAAATCTAGTCCAGTTCAATCCTCAAATCGGATCGATCGTTGCTCCATATTAGTGGTAATGGATTTTTGTATGGTATATTTGATTGTTTCATTATAAAGCCACGAAGGTCCTTGAGTTCATAGAACTATACAAATGTAGTAAACTTTTGTGGAGTCAAATCTCTGGATGCAATATTAGCAAGATTTTTCGATTACTGGACATGAGGTAAATGTGAGTTGTTGAAGTGTGTGAGAATACGGGAATTATTATTAATTTCCAACAAACATAGTCCATCGACTAGGAAGGTTCAGCAGCCAGCCAACTAATGAGTCCGACCAGGCATGATTTTGTGTCTGTGGAATAACCATGACTTCAGTGACTTCCGTCAATAGCTCGGAAAGCAGTACTGATCCCATTAACTCCAAACAAGGAATCGATTGCTGCTTAACTGGTGCCACCTTCGTGTGAGCAGTGATTAGACTAATCTGAATAATTGTGTGCGTGTTACCAACTTTGAGATATACGACCGCGGAAAAAGCGTACAACTCTATCAGTGTCTTAACCCATCTCGGGAAAATAGCAATTAATGGATTAAAAAAAGTTCAACAATCATTTATCGTTCTGACAATGTGATTGTGATAAGATTGTCATTTATATGTTCAATATTATTATTAGATACGATTTCATGTGACAAAATGTTGGATTCTTAATTTTTAGGCGCTAGTAAAATATACCTACGCGCTTTGCGTTTAAGTCATGCAAAATTGCACCGAAGTCAGGGATAACAGGGCTACACTATGCTCCGCCTGAAGAAAAATTACACCTCTCAACATCATGATCATACATCCTTACAAGTCCACTGCAGAACATAGGCCTCTCCTAAACAATACTACAAACACGGTCCTGAGCTACCTGCATCCATCGATGCCATTCTAAAACTTTGCTCCCCCCATCGGTTGTCCATTGATCTAACGTACTAAATATACTGTTCTAGTTCGGAAATCCCCATTACGAAGTCTTTAAGTAGAGAAACTTCCGCCTTGCAGACCGCTTTGTAGACCTTGAGCCCTACTGGGCGTACGGTTCCCCATAGCATGCCAGGCCTTAGTTTCATATATATACACTTGTCATCACTGGCAACATGCAGTGGTGTAGATAACAAAAACTCTGAGCGTAGTGTTCCCAAACAACTATGAGCAAAGTTGTGCCATGGACATTACACGTGATCTTTGTCTTCTAATTGTTCATTAGTAGACACATTTAAGATCATTGAGCATAGTGCTAAGATGAACATGTAATAATGACAACATCGTCGACACATCAAAACTAAATTATGTAATCTCCATTGATGTTTACACCTTATATTTTTCAATCTAGTAGCTTGGAAACATCTTCTACTACAACGGTAAAGTTTCAGGGATATAACGTCACCCTGTCTTACACCTTTCTGCAGTTAAATAAATATCATTTTCTAATCATGAACTCAGATAGCAATCGAAGTCTTACTGTAAAAATATTTCATCACAACACTAAGCTAAGGGCTGGAAAGGAAGTGGTGGCAGGCCTGCTGTACACCATGTTTAATTTGTGTTCGGAACTGAAGCGGGCAACCGGGAGACTGGTGCAAAGCCGCGTCCTGTTGCGACCCTTTTCCCTTATATATTGCGACTACCGCAGTCGCAATATATTAAGGGAAAAAGGGTCGCAACAGGACCCTTTTCCCTTAATATATTGCGACTAATCGAACAAGTAGATGAGTTTGCATATTTGGGATGTGTATTCAGTAAGGGTGGACGACATGATAAGGATATAGAAAGACGAGTGAACGCAGGAAATAAAGTAGAATAAACGCAGTAGAAATGCGGTCGTTAAAGAGTATATTAGGGCTGAATCTGAAATACGAGTGTGAAAGTGTATGATAAAAGAATGGTGTGGTTTGTAAGATGATGTTGTGACCAGGATTAAGAAAGGAATGATTCAGTGGTTTGGTCATGTAGAATGAATAAATGAGAAAAGAGTTATAAAGCAAAGTGGAAGTGAATGGAGGAGTCGGAAAAGGACGTCCTATGTGAAAGTTTATCGACCGAATTGGCGATATATTGAAAATGGCCCAATTTAAGACTACCCTTAACCGACGAACATGTATGCGTAGGTATATGGATGTGGTGAGGTGAGAGATGTATTTCAGGATCGTGCTAAATGGAGTCTGTAGTCTCTGCCTACTTCTCTGGGTACCAGGCGTGAGTGTTTATGTATGTATGTACAAAGCGGCACCGCTAACAGGAATGTAACGCCCCCACATTTTGCGGAATCAAATGCTTTCTCAAAGTCCACATACACAAGAAAACGTAATGGATTATACTATTCTATCTTGTGAAAAATCTTCTGGTCGGTTTGGTTTAAGATAATGAGGCCTTTATTCAAATATAGTTATATTGTGTAACGCACTAAGCAACCTTTAGAGAACGCATTGCGGAGTAAGACGATATTGGCGTGATACATAGGCTATTAAATTTGTATATGTACGAGTTGATTATGATTTTCGAGTGATATTTCATTGCAAAAAAAAATTGTGGCTTAAAAGAAAAGATGGCATTAGACATTAGAAAAGAGACTAAATACTAAAAATGTAATTAGTATAGTTGAGATGTAAAATAATGTGTTTTAGAGGCAAGAGACATTGGCTGATACTTTTGTGTTTAATAAATTTGTAAAAAAAAACGAGCTGAATTGTACACTTTTAAAATAGTTGGATCTACCTTATACTTACTCATTGTAGATTTTGTCTTGAACTTCCTTATACGAGCCGATTAAGATAAGTGTAATTACAAGATTGGTGGCTATAGTGTCATAACCAGCCACAATCAAGTTATTAACGTGATCTTTTCCGTCTTGATTTGAGAAAGCGTTTTCGCCATCTGAACCTTCCAGATTAAATATCAGATCGCTAAATGATTTAAGATTTTTATCTGTAAGACAAAAAAGATATTTAAAAAAAAATTACATGGCTAAATTAAATATATTTTTGGTGTTTAACAAACCTGAGGTGTTAGACGCAGTTGAATGACACTTCCTACGTTGCTTTACGATCTGAAAGAGTAAAAAAATCGAGATTATAGAAATAATTTTAACCGAATGGAATAAAATTTTCAATGTAGTAGCTTGAAAACATTTTCTAAAGCGACAAAGTTTTGGGGATATACCGTTAACTGTCTTACACCTTTCTGCAATTGAATAAATTTCGTATTCTGGTTCTGTACTCAGACAGACAGTTCCAACGGTGACGTGTACATCTGTCTGTAGAACCTCTCAATCTAATTTGAAATCTCAGGTGTCTCGAAAACGATGTCACCAGATTCGGTTTTCAAATTTGACAGTTCTTTCTTGCCGGCTGGCAGATCTCTGTCGAAGATTTTTCCGCACAATGGCTTCTTCAGTACGAACTGTATTGAAGTTACGTAAATCTCGCAACATGCATTTGGATAATCTGTCTATTCAGTTGTCCGTATGCTGTCATATCTGCAGAAGACATTATAGCCTTGGAACAAGAATGTCATTGGAGAGTTTTTGGGTTCTTCTGAAATAGGTCTCGCTGAACTTTGCTCTGATCGCTAGAATAGTTTCCACGAACTTGTCATTCATGTCGTCCAATGTATTACAATTTTAGAGGCTCTGAAAACGATTTTGAAATTCAAGCTTTAAGTTTTCAAGACTTTGGAGCGGGAAGGGAAAAATGACCTATCCAGCTTAACTTTAAGGTTCAGTTCAGTCAACTTTTTCTCTCTTACCATTCCCGAAAATATACAAAATTTGATGAAATCCCAAAAAATCCCACAAAAGGCTTGCACAAAGTACAAAAAACTTTATTAAACTATGTTTGTATAATTAGGGTTATTATTATATTAAGAAATTTAAGTATGATAACAACCCCTGGAAAAGGTGATCGCTACCAAGCTATTTCTAATTTGTTTTGTGTTGTTAATTATGTTGATGATTTTAAGCTGTTTTTTTATAAGTCCCGCTTGGTTTCTTGCTGGTTCTTCCTTGGACAGATGTGTTTTTCCGAAACCGCGGTAAATAATAAAAAAGTGACTTTCATTGATTTTCATGATTATTTATAATCTAATTGAATAAAAAAGTTTCTGTTTCTGGTTTGGTGATCGCTACTAGTTTTTAGTGTTGAGGTGAGTGATCCATGAGACATCACTTAATGGTTGCCATTTGGTCGTAACAATGCAGTTAATCTCATTTAAAGTCGACAATGGGCTTGACCAGATCCACTTTTTGTGGGGCCGCTTCAAGAATAAAGAGTTCATCACAAAAATTCCTTCTTCTCTATTAAGCTGGGCAGCCTTTGACCCATTGAGTTTCGTTGCTCTTCTCTGAATTTCCCTAAATTCAGCTCACTATCCTATTTTGTGCTTTATTTTGCGTTAAAGTCTCCCATAAACATTATATAATGGGTTTTGGAGTATTGCATGGCTCTAGAAATAAATGTATGAGAATATCTCTAGAAATATCCTAATACATTTCCTCAACCTGCTTATTGGTATATGATGAGGTTGGTGCGTAACCGTAAACTATATGACCTACAGCGAATACCGTTTGGTGATTTCAACAACTTCGAACGTCCACGAAAAAGACACAATAGTCATACAATCATAAAATGTTCATAGTGAAGTATGAGGAACGCAACCCTTGTCGAAACATTCCCAATTTTTAACGTGGTTAATAGGAGATATGTGGACGATATCATACACCTCCTTAAACAGATGGTCACTCTTCTGGTAATAGAACAAGTTGATGGATTCAGTATTTTGGACCACCGATATAATACCCCAATATAACATGTCTATTGCTTCTTCCAGCTCCACGATCTTCTCATCAGTCGTCAGGATGTGTGCATTGAATGTTGCCAGATCGGAAGATACATAGCACCTCTTGCCCTGCCTTATTATGGTTGCTATCTTAACTAGAAATATCAGAGCCGCCGCGGTATGAGGGCCGTTTTCTTGTGTCATTGCTCATAAAGGGTTATTTGTTGTCGTTTCTATGCTTAGTGAGAGGTTGGCAACCGCAGCTTCTTATTCTGTTGCTGTTATAAGAAAGATACTGCTACCCATGTCGTGACTCATTTGATTTTGTCGCCTCTTACGACACCTACGAGAAGATATGGGGTAGTAGATATTCTTACACCGCCACTACACAGTACCCGGTATTTTTAGATGTTTCTTGATTTGATGAAATCGATTTATTCAATATTAATAATTCTTATTTTATTAAATGCCCCATACAAATTTTAAGAAAAAAATCTATGAAATTGGAGGATAAAATTTTTAACGCAAAACAGAAAGCACTATAGTTGCTACCATGATCTTGTGATATTTTGAGTACATTTAAAAGGTGAAAAGCTTTAAAATAAAGTGAGACCAAAAATTAAGTAACTATTTTCTATACAATAGCTTTTCAAGTCGGGGGGGGGGGGGGTTTCGATACACCATGTCTTAACACCGACACCAATGTTTTTTTTAATTTAAATTACAATAATACTTATATTGACATTGCGTTATTCACGAGCGAACTGCCCACCATATTACAAAATTCAAACTGAAAAGACTATGTATATATTGCCACTCCTGAGGACTAAAATGAATAAGAATGAAAAAGAAGTAGAAGAAGATGAAATAAAAACACGAATGTAAAATATACCATGTTTGATACACCGTGTAAGAACTCGATGTCCTTATCTAGTTGCCTTTTTGTACTGCTCATATTCCAAATAAAATCTTTATAATACCATATAGTTTGACTTCTGTAAACTAAACTTCTGATAATTCTATCCGTTAAGGTCACATACTTTGCGGTGAGTGTTTTGTCGGCTCTTAAATCTACACCTGTTGCTGTCACTAAAACAAAAATGATAATACATTATTTTATAATTGTGTTTGTAATAATTTATGTTAAACATTAAATAAATAATTTATGCTAAATGTATGTTAATCTATGTTTATACCCCATAAGCACAAATTAACGAATTTAGGTATAAGGGGGATGTATCAAGTTTTCTAAACTTTTACTAATTATCTCACATGCATTATCATTCATTCATTATCTCATAACCAGTGTGGTGTTATTGGATTTGTACCAACCTTGTGGTTTAAGAAATTTATTTCTCATAAGAATAGAACATTCATTGTCTAAGAAACACAGGATTGACTTAAAATTACATATATATGTTTACATCGAAACCAGTCCTGAAGCGACATTATTTGATCATTGGCTAATCACTATTGTAAAAATACATTTCAAATTCAAAGTAACATAAAATTTTAAAAAATGTATATATATATATATATATATAAGGGTATATGAAAAACAATTACATCAACAACAAACAATTCAATGCATTGCACATTTTATAATATTATTGTGACATTGAGTAGCAAATATTATCTTATTACGTGTCGAAAATCGAAGCACATCAATTGCTGTCGTAAATTTCTATCTATGCATATAACTAGTAGTTAAGGGAAGTTTATGTGTTAAGATTTATTTTGTTGCGCATGATTTATACAATCTTATTTAGATTAGATTATGTTGCATTTAAAACTTTATTATTGTATCCGTATAGTTAACAATTATTACATTACGTACATAGTTTAAAATAAAATAATTATTAGATTATTAGGTAAATTATATTTATATTATATCTAAAGTTATGAATTTATTAGAATTACTAAATTGGGATATATGCATCGTCACTGGAAAGGAGAAAATGCTAAAGCGCCATTTGGGCCAAAATGAATTAATTATATTGTTGGATTGCTTTTTTTTTCTGCGTCGTTCTGTGTAGGTTTCAAGTGAATCAGAGCAAGTTTTTGGCGTTTTAGAATTTGTAAAAATTGAGGGATGTTCCGAATTACAAAATCTAAAGCGACGATTTTCAATTGTTTTTGAAATAGACGTAGCTTTAGAAACACGTTTTCAGTAAAGAGACCCTATAGAACGTTATTCCTTACTACATTCTCTTCACAATAGCAACATAAGTATTTTTTCTTTTCTTAATTTGAATGACATTATTATATTAGCAATATTAAATTTTAGAATTGTATTATTTCATATTCATTACCGTTGTTTTTAACTGTTTGGTGCTTAAGAAAAACTGTTAGCATAAGATTTAAATATGGTTGGCATGTACGCTGTAGCAATTTTTGCTAAATATATTTTTTTAAATTTCATTCTGTTAGAGAAAATAAAGTTGTGACAATTAAGTAATAACATTCCCATTAGAATAAGGAAGGCATTTTCCTAAAGGTATGAATCGTTTTAGCGATATGCTATGTTTAAACTGATGACCACTGTAGTACGTTAGTACTATTATCTATTGGGAGACTGTAGTGTAAATATCGGTGAGGCATAATATTTATAATATGCGTGTGATTGTAAGCACACTTAGCGCACTCGCGTCCTGTTGGAACACATCGTTTCTAGATTCTCTCCTGGAATCTAGTTATAGCAACGACGCTTCCCACGCGATGCGTTCCCTTACCTATGATGACTACTCCGCGACGAGAGCTTCGCATACCTCGGCTTCTGCACTCCTTCAATCTACTGCAGATAACCACGCTTTCCACGCAATGAGCGCTTCGCACACCCCGAATCATGATCTAAAATCTACATGTTATGATAACGCTGTCTCCCACCAGATGAATACACCCCAGATCCTGAACTCCTAGATTCAGCCTCCACAACGAGTATCTCTCATGCAATGTATAATAAAGTTTCTTCGGCTTCTCAGTTACGTTCTATGTCTCGAGAAGAGGAGAATGAAATTTGTGTACAACAAATTATATCTGATGACAGTTGCAAAATCACGATTGAATTGCAAGAACAAACAGTTAATCAATTTGAAAAGGAAAAAAGCAAGAACTTTGAGAATATTGTTGACAACGAAATGCCTGGAACTAGTAAAGGAAAACTTGAAAGGAGTGAGGTAAAACCTGGATATATAAAAGAGAAACCTGAAAAAAATAAAAGATTAATTCTCAAACATGTTGACTTCATTTCTGACGAAGAAGCATTTACACTGACTTCATGTTCATGGGAAGAATCAGACGATACGGAGTCAGATATATCCAATAATGATAGAAGAGAGAAAAAACAAAAGAAAAATAAAAACAGTAAAAGACAAGGCAAGGAGTCAAAAAAACGTAGCAGAAAAATAAACAAGAAGAAAACTTACCATTTAGCTTCGAACAAAGATAAATCTGACTCAGAGCAACATAAAGGGAATGAAGAAAACATTAGAGAAAATCAATTTTATGCAGATTTTAGAAAAAAAAACCAAACGAATTAATAAAGATAAAAAAGATCAAATTGAAGGAAAGCTGTGAAAGAGTATGTCTCAAAAACTGGAAGAGTAGTTGAGGCAAAATAAAGTAAATTGTATTAATAAATGTTACGATATATCTGAAGATAGACGAAAAGGTATTTTTGATCATTATTGATCATTAAGTGCGGAAAGAAAGCGTGACTGGATTGTAAGTCATGCAAAAAAGAAATTATGAAACGAAGAAGATCCATAGATATAGAGAGCCGAAGGCAATTTACATATACATATTTGATTAACCAAGGAGAAGGCCAAAGACCTGTTTGTTTGAGATTCCTTATAAACACCTTAAATATTGGTCAAAGATTTCTACATCAAGTTATCAGTTCTTCAGTTGAAGGGTGTTCTAAAACAGACAACAGAGGTAGAAAAGTTCCTGCAAACAAAACGCCCCCGGCCTTATTGCAATCCGTGAGAGACCATATTAATGGTTTACCAGCAGTTCCCTCACACTACTGGAGGAAAAACTAAAAAAAAGTTATTTGCCACAAGAATATAGAAGCCTTTCCAATTTATACAAAATTTGTAAACAAAAGAACATGAATGAAGGGGAGAATTTTGTAAGCGAAAAGGTTTTTAAAATCATATTTTCGACAAGAATTTAACATTTCTTTCCATGTGCCCCAAAAAGACAAATGTGTAAAATGTATTAAATGCGAAAATAGCCCCGGAGAATATCAAGAAGAAAAAAAAGAAACATATTCGAGATTTCAAACACATATTAGTATTCGCAAACACGATAGTAGTATACTCTGTACTACGTTCGATCTCCAAAAGGTGCTGAATACTCCATATAGAGACAGCATGTTGCTTTATTACAGTAGAGAGATCGCTACATATAATTTGACATTTTACGAGTCCGTCACACGAGAAGGGTTCTGTTTCTTGTGGAATGAAGTCGAAGGCAAACGTGGTGCGAATGAAATTTGTACTATTCTAGTTAAATACATTGAAAAGGTGGACGAACGTGGGTCTATAAAACATTTACTTTTATATTGCGATTCCTGCCCAGGGCAAAACAAAAATAAAATTGTTCTGGCCTGCGTCCATAAATCTTTGCAAAAATGCAAGAATATATCAACCATTCAAATGGATTACCTTCAACCGGGACACACATATATGTCTGTGGATTCCATGCACTCAGTCGTTGAGAAAAGTGTGACAAACAACATTGTATGGGCACCGTCTCAGTGGCCAGCCATATGTGCTCTAGCAAGAAAAGTTCCTAAACCATACGAAGTTGAAGTTCTATCTCACAAAGATTTTGAGGGCTGGGATACAATTTTAGACAGATACTTCAAAGGCCATCTTGCAAGTAAAATAAGCAGGATTCGCACTGCTACATTCAAGAAAGCTAATCCGCACCATATCTAAGTCAAATATTCCATTAAAGTTGAAGCTGAATCCGAAAAGATCGAGGTTATAGGCAAAGGTGAATTAATTCCAAAGTTAATTTACAAATCCTATTTCAAAGAAAAAATATTCCGGTTTGGAAAAATTATGTAACAATAAAACTATACCAGCAATGTATGTTGCAGAATATAAGTCTGTACCTCATGCAGTAAATGTTTAAGATTTTTTGGCAGATACAGACATTGAAGACATTCAAGACTGATAGATTTAAGGTTAATCTTTAAAACGCTGATCTCAAGAGTACCAAATTAGATTTACTTATTGCTATTCGTTTATGTTTCTTTTTGTTCTAAGATTTATAAATACGTTAGGTCAGACGTCAGACTTACCCTTGTGATTCAGGATGATAAAAACTTATTGGAATATGTCAAGACTTGATAATACTGAAGTTTTATTTTTACGTTCGTTTTGTTGATTACTTAACATTTAAGTACATTTAATATTAAGTTTTTTGTTGGTTATGAACCTACTTGATGTTTTTCAAAAATTCTGGTAAGACTACTTATTAGTAAGTCACAACAATGTTTGGAAAAATATTAAAAATAATTTTTATGTCTAATGCAAATTCCGATAACAAATTTGGTACATTCTAAGAGGTTTTCAGTTACCATCATAAGCAATCTTTAGCAATTTTTCTTTACTAGATCTATACGGTCTTAGTTACTTAAGCATTTGTCGTTTCCAAGAGAAGTGGCTTTTACCATTTATAAGCATTTTTCGAATAATTCGATTCATAATTTTGAGGTAGATTAGTAGTTTTTCCCTGACTAATATTTTCCTATTACTCAACACACTTTTGCTAAAGCGACTACTATTTCGAGAAACAGAGATAAATATCATAAACACTTTGTACGTGCTGGTACAATAGAATTTTAGTAATGTTATATTTTTGGATTAATAAGAACGGATAATAACTAAAAAAGATATAAATTAAAATAAAAAATGAAAAACTTTAAACCTCATTTTCCAAAAGTACCATTTTGGCGCTTTAGCATTTTCTCCTTTCCAGTGACGATATATATTTACACACACATTTAATTTTTTTATTTATTTATCTACCTAACTGCTGTAAGGCGTATGTGGATCTAAGGTATACTTTATATA